CCCTCATATGAACTCCCCAATGAAGATATAACACATGGGTCCAAAAGAACCACGACTAACCCGCCTAGTAAAGAGCATACCATAACATGCATGTAAACATGAAGATAATTAACTCACTTCACAATATCAAAATCATGATAATTTGTTATGTGTATAAGGAATACTTTGTAATGTAATGTATTATTTAAGTGTTATAATATGTGATATTAACATAGTTGATTTGCCTCACTTCTAGGGTTATCAATACACAATAAACTTTGTGTTATAATTTCAATAGAATTGTGAGCTTGCTTGGAAGTGATTTTAAAATAATGGAAAACGCTTTTAGAGAAAATGTTATTGGGTTCTAAAAGCACTTGCATATTTATTAAGAATTAATTCCAAAAACATTTCCACCAAAACCTGTAACATCCCACGTCGCTCAGGGGAGTGATCCTTATATGTATATTCACCTCCTTACCTAGCACGAGGCCTTTTGGGAGCTCACTGGCTTCGGGTTCCGTAGGAACTCCGAAGTTAAGCAAGAAAGAGGCCAGAGCACTCCCAGGATGGGTGACCTACTGGGAAGTTGCTCGTGAGTTTTCCAAAAACAAAACCGTGAGGGAATGGTAAGCCCAAAGCGGACAATATCGTGCTACGGTGGTGGAACAGGCTCAGGATGTGGTGGACCCGGGCCGAGATGTGACAAAAACGGTTTTAGTTATTTTAAAAATACTTCCAAACGAGCCATATAACTACATAATGCCATGAAGTTGATCTAGTGGGAAATAGATCAAATTAAAGGTATGCATTTTTTTTGGGTCACATGCTTTGTTTTGCATATCATTTTGATTCGGAGAACAAAAGTACGATATCACTTTATATGGTATCAGAATTACATGGGAAGAGAAATTATTCGGTTATCAATGTATGATGAAATACTTCCTATATTAAAAAAAATAACATATTAATCACGTGAGATTGAGATTGTGATTGTGATTGTGATCATGATTTTAGAGACAATCTCAATCTCACACCCTTCCTTGGTCGTAACGCTTCCCCAACCGCCCACGTTCATCTCCAACCCCACCTTCCAAATTAGTAAGAGATTCATATACAAATTTCACTCCCACACACACGCACACATATGCTTTTGCACTAACTCCAACACATACCCTCCAAACTCCAAAACCCTCTTATATTTTATATACCCCCAAAACTCTCTCCTCATAACCCCACTTCCAAATTGTGATCACAACTGGTTATGCAAAATGTTCATAGCTCCTAGCGTTAAACAAATACTACAATGCCCTCCCTCTGGGCAAGAGCAATTCATGATGATGGAGATGAAGACACCATGGAACAAATCCCATATTGAGATTGCTCCAAACTGCCCTCGATGTGCCTCTTCCAACACAAAATTTTGCTACTACAACAACTACAGCCTCTCACAGCCAAGGTACTTCTGCAAAGGGTGCAGGAGATATTGGACTAAAGGCGGCTCCTTACGCAACGTCCCCGTTGGTGGTGGCTGCCGCAAGAACCGCCGTGGTAAGGCAGCCAGGCTCTCACAGGCTGACCGCGGTTCATTAAGTTATTTTCAGCATCACAACTCATCAACTACTACTGAAGATGATCTGGCCGGAAATACTCAGCCAGGTGGATCTAATGTACCAGATATTGATTTAGCTGTGGTGTTTGCCAAATTCTTGAACCACAATTCCACTACCCCTGATGGTCATGACCATGACCCCAACTTGGTAATTTCAAGTTCAGCATTGAACGATCGTGACGGCTCGCATAATTCTTCAAAGGCTGCTGATGATCTTGTTGAAGCAGTTGGTCATCATTATTTACTTGAAGGACATCAATCACAAGAAGAAAATGTTCAAACTTTTATGGGAATTAATCACAATGATGATATGAACATTCATGAATTTGAGTTACAGGGTTTACTAGGCGATGATGAACAAGTGGTGCAAGATGTGTTTTGGTCCGATGATGCAACGACGTCTTTGACGAGCAGCACTGCTAGTTTTACATGGCAACCTATGATGGATCTGCAAGAGTTGGACTGTTCACTACCATCCGACGATGATCAAATGAAGATATCAACCAATTTGTGTGGCGATAATTGGAGCTCCTTTGAATTTTCAGGGTTTGAAGTTTTCTCACGATCTTAAGTGGATACAAATTTACAAGCATTTGATTAATTATTTGTTGTCAATTTCATTTAATTTACAATTTTTGTTCCTATGTAGTTAGAAGTTTAGTACTGTTACATTGCCATGGAAAGGAATACCATGGCAGGCATATACATAAGTACTAATATAATACAATAAACTTTTTTCTCATGATATGTTATGGAGCGAGTAGTCAATTATTAATTTATATTAGTGTTAATTTCTGCTGAGCTCTCACATTGAAGAGATTTTTCAGTGGGCTTGAAAAATTGGTACATACACTCTATGGCATTATACAAGTGAAGTGATACTCGAAAGAAAAAAACTTATCTCCACTTGTATAATAGCCTACAGCGTACCTTCCCGTGTTCATTACATTGAAAAATATCTCCATTAATATAATAGCCTATATTAGTGTTAATTAGTAACATATGGTTCGGGTACAAAATTCACTAGTCATTAGATAGAGACTAGATATGAACAATACGAAATTTTGTTTGATACGTTCTAAATTCATTTAAATATAATTTGAGTCGGTTCTTAAAATATTCAAACTATACATTTTAAATTATAATTATTGTAAATAATTATTTGTGTTAACGTTTATTTAATATTTATTTTAGCAATTATCATTTTTTAGTATTGAATTCTAATCCAACCGTCCCGTCCCATCCTCACTCTCTTTGAATGCTAGTCACCTTTTCCATATGCATTTTCCTATTTACTTTCTTCACTAATTACTTCACACGTACATTCAATTAATAAAACATAATTAATGCACCCTATCTATCTTCCCAATAATCACTTGACACGTGTATTCTATTAAGGCTTAAATGTTAAAATAAACCTTGTGTTTTACTCTATCCACCTTAAAAGCATGAATTATATAGTTTAATTTATTAGTGGAATACACGTGTTAAGTGATGAGTAGGAAAAATAGATATAGAAGGGCAAATGAGGAAGGTAGCTAGCGTCTCTATTGAAAATTATAATTTAGGGATGGTTGGATTAGAATTAAGCAAAGAGAAATACTAAGAAGATTCTCAAAAGAGAAAATTCATAAACTCTTTGCCGTCTCATGTTTTTCGTGCCAATATTATAAAATATTGTGCAAAAAACAAAATATCGGAGGGTCTCTCGTTAGTATTTTTCTTATGCAAATTATTCTACTATCCAGACAGAGGGATTCGAAAAAATAACAATTAGTTCAGGATCTCCTTTAACTCTCGTCCAACCAAATTTGTTCTTTTTCACCTTTTTTAAACCTGGGCTGGACAATTGTGGTCCAAATATTAGTTTCACCGTACAAAAATCCTCCTATCAAGAAACTGCAAGATGAATTAGTAGTTGCTCATATGAAATCTCCCAATAAAAAATAATGATAATTTTAGTTCTTGCAAACACAATCTTGGAAGCAGAATATTTTGCGAAAAAAAGAAGGAAAAAACATGGTAGCAACGAAGAATTCAAGGTAAAAGGAAAAAAATAAAAATGTAGAAAGAATAAAAGTTGTAATCCAATAAACATTGGAACACATCTCCATTGGAAGGAGAAGGTTAGCAGAAAGGATATTTCGATTTACGCACAAATAAAATCCTGAAACCAATTTTCACTGAGAATAAAATTCCGAGAAGAACTATGTGCCACATATTTAAACAACACGTATTTAAAAAAAAAAAAAAACTAATGAAAATGGTTTGAAAACTTTGAGTTTTAACGATAAAGACAAAATAAAGGGTAAAATGAATAGTACCAGGTTTGACTTTTTAGTGTAAAAATATGGTTTTTCGTTAAAATGAACAGTACCGTGGGCTTTTCGTTAAAACCCTTATTTTAAATACATGACAAACGTTTATTGAACGTTAACATCACTAAGACTAAAATATAGTTGCATGAGACGAGAAATCTCTCTACATTGAGTTTTCCCAATACTGGCACAAAAGGATCAATCCTTCACTTGTCCATCGTTCGTGAGTCGAGCCCACTCTCTTGTCACGCCTTTCACTCGCTTGAGTCAGACTCGATCATTTTTTTGTTTGGTGGATCATTCGTTGGTCACTCTATATTATCCGCTGGGATCGCAGCAACCAAGGTGCATATTATGTTAAGGCCAGAGGCAGCAGGTCAAGCACGGGTAAGTAATCTTTTGGCTAAGCTGAGAATGAAAAAGATAGACAGATGTGCTATGTTAAGAAAGGTGTGGAAAGAGAACGCCGGCGAATTGAAAACAGAAATCCTAGACTGATTTCTTGAGAGCTGGAGCCCCAAGTACTTCGAATCTCTTTGGTCGCAGATGCAGAATGAAGTTGTTTCACAGCCCGAAGAACGATTCCCCAAGACGTCGAAGAGAGCAAAAGTGAAAAAATAGAAGTGCCGGTTTGGAAGTTTGGGTGCTACCGTCGAACCAAGTGGACTACCACTTATTTCTTTGCGTGACAATCGTCCATTAGACGGTAGTACATATTTTGAATACATGATAAATGTTTGTTGAACATTGACATCACTAAAACTAAAACATAGTTGCATGAGTTGAAAAACCTCTAATTTCATTGAGTTTTCTCGGTATTGACCCAAACGGATCGGTCATCCACTTGTCGATCGTTCGTAAGTCCAACTTGCTCTTGTCACGCCTTTCACTCACACACTAGAGTCGCACTCAAATCACATTGTTGTTTAGAGGACGTTCATTCTTCACTCTCTATATTATCCGCAGGGATCGCAGCAACCAAGGCAAGTATTATCATATAGAAACAAGCAAAGCATAGCGATTCGAACTACCAGAAAAGTTTCACCAACCGGTAGTGCAAATCGCTAGAAATAATAGAAGTCGGTAAAGTACTCCTTACAAATACATCAATTAATCTCGTTGGTAGCATGCTGCACAGGCAAATCATCAAGGAGAGTTAATAAGTTTGCTACATTGATCAAATTTGAAAGCTTACTTCGGTGAATCCTCGATATAAAATAATATATAATGACAAGTACCAAATGAATACTAATACAACGCCCAAACCACAGCTTTTCAACCACTCTAATTGGCAAACACAAGTACAAGATATGACTGCGCTTCGAACTCGGAGAAAATCATTTCAAAATCATTAAGATATAAGCGAGTAGCTGGAACTTACTCAACTCCTTCATTCACTTGTTGATTCCATGCATGGACTCCACAACATCAATCAAAACTAGCATTTAAGAACTTCAGCAATTCATTCCTTTTGTCTTCAGCCGCCTTGTCCTCCTTTGTCTTCTCAAGTTTCAGTAGAATCTGCAAAAAGAAAGAACACGGATTTCTCTTTCTATTTTTAGCCACGACAAAAGAACAAGGGATAGACCAGCGTAGATGCCCCTAAGATCTCTAATAAATCTTTGATCAACAGTAAACATATATATTACCGAGCAAGTCTTACCTTTTTTCCAGAGACAGCACTGCGACGAACTCCATCATCTTTGTCACGCCCCAATAACTGTAGGAAGCAAAATGTTACTTCAACGATAGAAAAATTATTAAAACAAACTACATTAAAATAAAAAAGAATATCGAAGACGTAATTGTAAGAGAGTGAAATGAAAACCTTTGAAAGCTGAACAGGGCCGCTACTTCTCTCATTCTTCTGTTTCTATATATGGCTCCCATTGCCAGGAAAAAACACAATCCAGACACATTATCCAGGCAAGCCAATAAGTACCCAGCACCATGCCACAGACCCCAGCTCCAATTTTGGAAGAGCCAATCCATAAAACAGGCAGAAAGTACTATAAGCACCTCAGCAATTGAAACATAATATCATATGCATCCAGTGCCCAACACTGAATGCAAGAAACCGTGTGTGCGTGTCACAGTTTAATTAGCAGAACAGAACAGGCAAGTTTGAAAAGAAAATTTCCTATGTACAACTTCCTCATGCAATTTTTGTTTAGTCGTCCTAAAATTATCTACTACTCTCTGAAGCTGGATAAGATGCATCCAGAACTATATAAATAAATGCATTAGAGTTCCTGCATATATCTTAGTTAAGCCATGGTCCGGAACATATAATGAATCAAATTATCACAAATTTTAGCAAAAAATCAAATGGAGGCAAGATGCATGGTCAACTTCCACGTCTTGTCTTACTGTCTCTAAATCTTTTTATTACTCTCTGAAGTTGGAGCACAATGGATGTACAGCAATTTTAACAAATGGTGCAGAGTTGACAATAAATAATTTGTTTAAGCAATAAGCTAGAAAAGGACGATGATAACAGCCTTAAGACAATTTAACAGAGCAATCATATGAAGGCAAGAGAGCAACATAAAACATACTGGCCTACCTCTTTGAGTTTCCTTTGATGTTTATGGCGATGACTCTTGCTCTGGTCCTTTTCCTTGCTCTAGATAGAAAGGATCAATTAAATGAGACCAAAGGACAAGCAGAAAGTGTAATGTAAAAGTAATATAATTATGTCACAAAGAAATGCCAAACAAGCACCTTCTTATGTCTGTCACTCTTCTTGCGCTTCTTTGACTTACTAGATGTTTCAAGCTCACTGTCCGAAGAACTATCACTTCTGCATTAAACAAACAAAGAAATATGTCAAAAAGCAGAGCCATCAATCGTCGCCCGTTAATATTTCTAACATGCGTCTAAACCGCACTGCCCAGCAACATAATAATTTCAAATTGAAATTTTAAAAGCAGAAAAACCAATAACAAAGCATATGATTCACTTAAGCAACTCAAAATCTTTGCCTAATTGCCATATACCCCTTATCAATTTCCTTTAGTCGACGCACCTCACAAGGTCCGCACATCATCGATATAATCCACTACTTTCCCTTTGACAACTAAAGTTCCGGATTGAAAACCATGCTTCAATTTAACATGATTGATTTTAATCAACTGATGCATTTTTTTTTTTCTAAATTAAAACGTAAGGGACCTTAACTTTGAGCTGAAAACAAACGAATTTTCCCATCTGGGTCGTTTCGATACTTTCCATGTTAGCTACAGGAACTACACAACGCACCAAATTGCATACAAATTGCAATAAATTACAAAAACCATCTTAAACACGGAATAAAATAACCCAATTAGGGTTTCTCAGAACTACTCACAAAATTCAAAACCCTAATCAAACAGAGGATAAAACTGAAAACAAAATTAAAGCCATCGTATATTACAAATATTTACATCTAAGCCCAGAAAACAAAAGAAGGGTTTTGTCAATTGACCTGGAATCGGAAGGAGAGGAGGAAGAGTAAGAATCCGACGAGGAGTAGCGGTGGCGGTGTCTGCGGCGTCGTTTGGTGTTGGAACGACTGATCTTTTTTCGTATCTTGAGGGCATCTTTGTCTTTCTCCTGGTCTTTGTCTCGGCGACTGCGGTTGTGGCGACGATGTCGACGGCGAGATGCAGACGAAGATGACAAGGAGGAGTCCGAGGAGTACTCAGACAACGATGAGGACGATGCCACCATGTCTCGGGGGAGAGAGAGAGAGAGAGAGAGAGAGAGAGAGGAGACGAAGGGTTTGAGAAACTGGTGTTCGGACCACAACCAGAAGAACTCGTTTTTGTACGGGGTCAAAACAAAAAGACTTAATTACTTTAGTGGCCCTGAAAGTGTCTTTGAGTATTACTTTACCCCATGATAGTTATATTTTCTCACTTTGCCCTCTTTGTATGTTTGTGTGTCCCAGTTTACTGTTGAAATTCATTGTTAATTTGTGGTTAATATATTTTAAAAAAATATTATTTTTCTGCCCACCTGACGCCTACATGGCACACACATAAGAAACACACTATGTTATAATAGCTCATTTGGATGTACTTTTAAAATGATTGAAAACGTTTTTAGTGAAAATATTTTTAGAATCAATCCTTAGTAAAAATGCAAATAAATTATGGAAAAACACTTAAAGTGTTTATTGGAAGAAACACGTAACTAGTAGTGCTTCTTGTATAAAGCACTTTAAGTGCTTTTGGAACCAAAAACATTTTCTTTAAAAACGCTTTCAGTCATTTTAAAAGTATATTCAAACGAATTCTAAGTATATTTTACTAAAAAATTATAGATAGAGAGGAAAAGAACGGTGGCAAAAGAGAAGATATTTGGTGAATTATGAGGTATGTGTCAATGGTTAACTAATTCTACTCACGCACTTGTTTTTGCCTGAGTAATTTTGTGTTAAGTTTACTAATGAGTAAACGATTCAGGATCTTCTAGAAGTATTTAAAATGACTAAAAATGTTTTTGAAGAAAATATTTTTAAATTTCAAAACCTCTTGAAATATTTCTTAGAAGAAGTTTCAGTGTGTGCTTCTTTGAGAGAGCACTTTAAACCTTTTTTCAGATTTCTTTTGAGTTTTCACTAAGTTTAGTCCTAAAAATATTTCCCTCGAAAATATTTTTAGTCATTTTAAATGCATTTGCAAATGAACCCTCAAATTTTGATATATCGTAGATATGCCGAAGTTGAAGTTATGTTTAGCCCGAAAGACTTCAAAGTTTGTTGACCGAACATTGAGCGGCCTGAAAATACGAGGCCCAAGAGAATAAAAAGGCTAAAAATCTTAAATTTGTTTTAATTTTTTTTATAGTCAAGGGAAGTCAATGAATTTGGAGATTGCTCCTATTTAACGTAATTTTTGTATTTCAGATATTGAACTATGAAATGAATTATTTCTTTATTCTTTTATGTGTAAGTAAAACAATAAAAGTTAGAATTTGAAGAAATTCTACTGCTCTTTTGTTAATATAAAAAAAATTATTGAACTAAAACTCTTTCGTAAAATATAAGATTATATACTTTAAATTTAATTTTTCTGTTTGTTACCTAAGTGTTTCTTTTAATTTTTCTATGAATATTGAAACCATCGTATATGTTTTCCTCTTAATCAACAAGGCGTGATCTTATTTTTTTTTTTATAATCAAGGTCTGGCCTTATTTTGTTGGATATGGTACGATTTTATGAGTATTCGGATTTGAAACAAAATATCATTTGATTAAGGGTTAGTTGTTATTTATTTCTTTTTTATATTATACTATTTTGTTTTATTTTATTAGTTATAATTTACAATTTATATCTTTTTCGATTTCTTTTGTCAATATATATCTTTATCGATAAGAATTCTAATTTACAATTTATATCGTTTTAATTTGGACAATGTTTTTTCTTTTGTTGGAATTTAATTCGGACGCCTCAAAAGTATAAAAACAAGAACGGGAGAAAAAGGTTGTTGTTGACCAGTTTGCATACAAATCCAAAACCCTAATCGCCTCCTCTTCCTCAACCTCCAAAACCCTAGCTTTTCCCAGACTCGTAATTTGCAGTCAGGCGTCGCCCTCAATCCATGGCAACCAGTAAGGCTTTCTTCTTCTTCGTTCTCCGATTATTGTTCTCGTATTTGTTTCTAATCAAATTAAATTGAAAAATTAATTGGGGATTTGCAGGATTGCAATTCGAGAACTCGTGCGAGGTTGGGGTGTTTTCGAAGCTGACGAACGCGTACTGTTTGGTCGCCATCGGCGGCTCTGAGAACTTCTACAGCACCTTTGAGGGGGAGTTGGCTGATGTCATCCCCGTTGTGAAAACCTCCATCGGCGGCACTCGCATCATCGGTCGCCTCTGTGCTGGTATTGTTTTCAATTTGATATCCTTCGATATTTCTTTTCTTTGCGGTATCAATCAAGGGTTATAATTTCGATGTGTTTTTAGGAATATAAAAAAAATTTGTTGAAATTTCGATTTCAGGAAACAAAAACGGGCTTCTTGTGCCTCACACCACCACTGACCAAGGTATTTTTGTTCTTCCGATTTCTTTTTCTTTTTGGGTATTTTATGTTTGTGGTTATTGCGTTTCGGTTTTTCTGACTTATTGAGCTTCTGTTTTCGATTCATTGAAAATTAAGAACTCCAGCACTTGAGGAACAGCTTACCTGATCAGGTTGTTGTTCAGCGTATCGAAGAGAGACTATCGGCTCTTGGTAACTGCATCGCTTGCAATGATCATGTTGCTCTTACGCACACTGATCTTGACAGGGTATGCTTTTTATACTTGTTCGAAATTGCTTTTTTTATTGTATCCTGTGCAGTCTTTGTTTTCCCTTGGAAAAAAAGCACAATTGTGTTATGTGAATTCAATGTCAGTAACCCATAAAGCTCATTTTCACAAATAGTGCCCAACATCTTTGAAATCTTAGGAAATTAGGAAGACATCATATATCTATCACAAGATGTGCCTGGTTTAGCATGTAAGAGTATTCACAGGTTGTACTGCGGAACATATTAAAACCCGCTTTAAATGAAAAATATAACTCAATGATGATTTGGTCAATACCACACATGCACGTCATGGTTGTCCTGCTTTTCCATGTTATATCGCCCGTATCTGATTGTTGACAGTCACTTTATTATGCATAACATGACTTTCAGTGTTCACCAAACTGTTTGAATTTACTTCAGATTGATACATATGTAATATAACTTTTTTCAGAAATTAATCAGGAATTGAATGGTTGGGAAGAGTCACTTTATCATGCATAACATGACTATTCACCATATAGTTTGAATTTACTTCAGAATAATATATATGTAACTGTATTCAGAAATTAAAGAGGAATCGAATGTGCATGTTGCAAGCAGAACTTTAGTTTTTACATGAACGTAGACTACTCTTTTCCATTTCGCAGATGACGTTAAACTTTGAATCCATGCATTTTGTTCATTTCCTTTTATTTGTTATTTTTCAGGAAACTGAGGAGATGATTGCAGATGTCCTTGGAGTGGAAGTTTTTAGGCAGACGATTGCTGGTAATATACTTGTTGGCAGCTTCTGTGCCTTCACCAACAGAGGTGGCTTGGTAAGAATACATCTTTTTGAGTTTTTGTTTCTGAGGCTTTTTTGAAAGATTTCTACTGTCATTGTTTCATCTTTTTTGTTCCTTTGGTCCCATTCTCAATCCTAATTGTAAAAACACTTGTATAGGTCCATCCCCACACATCTGTTGAAGATCTGGATGAACTGTCAACGCTCCTTCAGGTCCCTCTTGTTGCTGGAACAGTCAACCGTGGTAGTGAAGTGATAGGTGCAGGCATGATAGTGAACGACTGGACAGCATTCTGCGGGTTAGACACCACTGCCACAGAACTCTCAGTTATTGAAAGTGTTTTCAAGTTGAGGGAAGCTCAACCCAGTGCTATTGTGGATGAAATGAGGAAATCATTGATTGACAGCTATGTCTAAACAATCTCTGCGCTAGTAAAACTCATGGATGCTACCTGTTTTCTTTCTTGTCAAAGTTTTTAAATAGTATTAGCTCTGGTTTTACCAAGTTGTATAGTTAACCTGTGCAATCTGGTGTTGAAATTTTGCTGAAATTGGGCAATTTACTTTGGATAATATGTTGTGTGACTAGTATGTTGTCGTCGTTTTGTTTATGACAAACGTGTTTTGTTCGTCGTTTCTTCTTGTTTCTGAAGTTCCACGACCGTGGTAATCGTTTTCCAGTTCCTCCTTTTCTCCGATGTGATTATAGATGCATTAATTTATCCGATGTGAGCATTTGGTTCCTAAACCAACTTCGCAGAATTTTTCAGAACAAGAAATTAGCCGAGTAGCAGATGAGTTGGCATGATCGTAGAAATTGAACAGAACCTGTGACATGTATATATTACCTGGAATAACTAACACATTTTGACTTTGAGTTATCCCTCATGATTACAACTGTGACTTTAGGGCAATCGTGCTCGTGCTGAGTTAGGTCGATCCGACTTCTTGTACTTAATATTGAAATTTTAATCTATTTCGGCCAGTTGTGCTCGTGTAGATTATACTTAGTGTGCGATTGCTTACCAACAAATAACACGAATCATTATATTTCACTTGCTCAAAGTAGATATACTGCAACCATTCAACTACTTAATAAACTAAATAGTTGATTAACAAACCAACTAATTGACATGTAGTGACAAGCAGACAAGTGGACTAATCAATAGATTATTGACAACATCCAATCTCAAATTTCAATTAAATAAAATAAATTTTAAGGTGAGAGACAAACTTTGTCTGGACAAAAGTGGTACAAACGATAGTTGGCTCTAAAATTTGAACAAGAATGAGTATACCACCTCCTTTGTCCTCTCCCTTAAAACAATGGAGAACACACTAGAAGATGGAAGTTGCCCCTCAAGAGGACAACTGTGACATGACATGCATTCTCCCTTGGCCGGATCCAAATATTCTGTCGGTTGAAGCTGCAATCCCCTCCAAATGTCGGGACACAGAAATACCACACATGTTTGCAACCAATATGATCGTCAAAATATTAATAATTACGCTTTAATGGAAAAATTAAACAACATGAAAAATATTTCTTGAACATTTTTTTTGCTCTCGTAATGTCGATTGTTAAAAAAGAAAGGTTAGGATAGCTCACCTAAAAACAAGAGCTCAAGACTCAATTTTAACATGAGATTGAGCCATAATCATACCAAAATGTAATTCATCTGGTATGTAATACCCGGCTGTCTCATCTCCACCGTCATATT